AGGGAGGAGGGTCAGAGGGAGCAGCAGACTCCCTGCCGAGCAGGGAGCCCGATGCGGGACTCGATCCCGGGACTCCAGGATCATGACCTGAGGCAGTCGCTTAACCAACTGAGCCACCCAGGCACCCCTAAACATTTAAATTCTATCTTCAGTCCTTTTCTCTTCTTGGGTAATCTCATCTAGTCTCACTGCTTCAGCTATAGTCTATACAGGGTGTTCTGAGCCCCACTTCTATGTTTCTGTTCTGTGAACCTCTGCACCTAGACCACTTTGTAGACCCCTCAAACACAACTTATCTCTATCACCTTTAATTGAAACCTGATCCTAAATTTCATTGTCAGACAAATGAATCAGCCTCCACGCCAATCATTCAGGCTAGAAGTAGAGTTGTCTTTGGCTTCCCTTTTTATTTCATATCCCATCTCCAATCACTAAACCCTATAATTCTCTCTAAAGGAGTTCTCAAATGTATTTTCTCCTTTCCCTTCTCACTGTCACTGCCATACTCACTTCTCCCCTTTATTACTGCTGTAGCCCCTGATCTTCTTGCCAACAGTTCCTTTCGTTCACTCTGTCCTTCATATTACCATCACTATTAACTTTAAAGAATACAAATCTTATTATGACATGACTATTGTTCATGTAGGATAGACTTCAAGTACCTTAGTGTGGCATTTGAGAACTATCAAAGTCTTATCCTTGCCTAACTCCACTGCCTCATCTGCCACACAACACCCCCCCCCCGCCCCTATTCCCTATCAGCTCCCATGTACCTTACTCTAGTTATGTGGAGCTACTATTCATTTACTGTTCTTCTACCATGTATCTCCATACTTTTGTGCTTTGCTTAAGCTACAGTTCTGCAGAATATTAAGGTTCTATAAAACGTCAGATGTATCAACGTTAACAATAGTTTCCTTCTAAATTTTATACATGTGTATGTATGATATATTGAAAATGTATACAATTATTCTTAAATGACTGGATAGTCTGCCCTAAGAAATGGTGTGCCACATTAGGAATGTTGAAGACAGTGACGGATGCATGAATTTTACTTCAGTGTATAAAAATTGTCTAGGGGCACCTGGGTGGCACGGTTGGGTGAGCATCCAACTCTTGGTTTTGGCTTGGGTTGTGGTTTCGGGGTTGTGGGATCGAGCCCCACATTGGGCTCCACATGAATCCTCTTGGGATTCTCTCTTCTTCTCCCTCTGCCCCTCCTCACCCTGCTCTCTCTCTAAAATGAATAAATAAGGGGCGCCTGGGTGGCTCAGTCGTTAAGCGTCTGCCTTCGGCTCGGGTCATGATCCCAGGGTCCTGGGATCGGGCCCCGCATCGGGTTCCCTGCTCCATGGGAGGCCTGCTTCTCCCCCTGCTTGTGTTCCCTCTCTCGCTGTGTCTCTCTCTGTGAAATAAATAAATAAAATCTTAAAAAATAATAATAAAATGAATAAATAAATCTTAAAAAAAAGAATTGTCTACCAAATAAAATATGCTGATAGTTTATTTTGCATCTTGAGTTATCATTTCAACATATGTTTGTCATATTCAGTATTTACTGTGTACATGTATAAAAATAAAAATAAAAATTTGATCATTTTTGTCACAATTAGTCTGAGACTGCTTTTTGCTCTCTTATTTAATCCAAGCACAAAATATGTCTCATGAACTCCAGCTGGTATTGTGTCAATACATTTTAATTTTAAAGTATTTTCCAAATATTGATGAATTAGATTGTATTAAACTTAAGAACTTCTGTTCAAATCAGGCAACTTGCATGGGAGAAGATAGTCTCAATACATATATCTGCAAAGGACTCATATTCAGGATATATGAAGAACTCCTAAAATTCACTAAGAAAAAGACAGACAACCAAAAAGAAAAACAGAGACAAAAGACTTGAATAGACACTTCTCAAAACAGGATATCCAAATGTCCAATAAATAGTACTCAAATGGGGCACCAGTGTAGCTCTTGATTAAGCGTTCGACTCTTGATTTCAGCTCAGGTCCTGATCTCAGGGTTGTGAGATCAAGCCCCATATCGGTCTCTGTGCTGGGTATAGAGCCTGCTTGGGATTCTTTCTCTCCCTCTCTCTACCCCTCCCCAACCCTAAAAAAAATAGTGCTCGAACTTCATCAGGGACATGCCCATTAAAACCACAATGAGGGGTGCCTGGGTGGCTCAGTCAGTTAGGCGTCTGCCTTCGGCTCAGGTCGTGATCCCAGAGTCCTGGGATCAAGCTCCACATCAGGCTCCCTGCTCAGCAGAGAGCCTGCTTCTCCCTCTCCCTCTGCCTGCCGCTCTGCCTATCTGTGCTCTCTTTCTGTGTCTGTCAAACAAATAAATAAAATGTTTAAAAAAAAAAAAACCACAATGAAATAATACTACACACCTAACAAAATGGCTAAAATTTTTAAAAATGAGAAAATACCAAATGTTGATAAAGATGTGAATCAGTCAAAACTTTTAAACACTGGTTATAGGAGCATAATAAGGGGATACAACCTCTTTGGAAAATTTCCTCAGTGGTATCTACTAAAGCTAAATATATACATATTCTATGACCCATATTTCACTCATAGGTATACACCTGACAGATATGCATACATATGCTCACCAAAAGAACATTCATAACAGCATTATTTGTAATGGACCCAAAATGGAAACTACTCAAATGCCCATCAACAAAAAAAATGGATAAAAAATTGTAATATATTCCCACAATGGAACACTATATAGAAATGAGAATGAATGATCTATAACTATACTTAACAATACTGATGATTCTCATACATAAATCTTAACAGTACTGATGATTCTCATACATTAAAGAGACCAGATACAAATGACTACTACTGACTTCATTTATAGAAAATACAAAAGTAGGTGAAACTACTACTTCTATGCTGTCAGAAGTCAGGATGGTTAAGTCTCTGATTATCTTAATCAAATTCAGAGGTCTTTTTACTATACTACACAGTTTCAGCCGTTGAAGTTTTAATAATTCTGTTACTTAGAGGGAGGTACTACCCACAAATATGCTTTTGATGAAGTAGAACTCCCAAAAAGTTTTTCTTTCTTTCTTTTTTTTAATGTATTTAAGTTATCTTTACACCCAATGTGGGGCTCGAACTCATGACCCCAAGACCAAGAGTCACATGCTCTTCTAACTGAGCCAGTCATGTAACCCCCCAAAAGCTTTTCTTTTTCTTTTTTTAAGATTTATTTATTTATTTATGGGGGGGAGGGGCAGAGGAAGAGGGAGAGAGAGAATCCCAAGCAGACCCGACACAGGGCTCAATCTCCCAACCCTGAGATCATGACCTGAGCCGAAACTGAGTCATATGCTTAACCAAGTGAACCACCCAGGCACCCCTCAAAAGAGCTTTCTATATCTATACCCCAAAGACATTCTAGATCTTTGCTAGATTTTGCTATATAAGCTTTGTTCTTCTTTGGTATACCATATAGTGGCAATGAATGATCAAACTATATTATATTCAGTTGTTAAAAATATATAATAAAATTATTACTCTTGCATGTATGAAAGGAACTTTGGAGACAAATCAGTATGGATCTGAAAATTGTAAGGAATTTATGCTTTATTCTGCAATCAATGGAAAGTCAGTGGATTTGATCAGGAGAGTGAATAAAATAATTGTTTTAGGAATATTAAGCTATAGTAGAAGTAGGAAAAACTGAAGCTGAAGGAGCATTAGGTGTGTATGTGGTGTGCATGTTGTGCATCATATGCATTTAAAATCTTACAGAAAATTGTTTTTTGTACCCACAGATCCTGAGAAATTAAGGTTCTTTTGAGTAATTGGGTAATAGCTGGCATGGCATGCATATATAGTAACTTACTGAAAACTTGCTGAAACTTAGAGGCAATACTTGAATAATAACCATTTGTAAAATTAAATAACCTAGAGTATAAAGACGTTTATTTTTAATACAGGATCTAAAAGGCCATTTGTAGTAATGAAGATCAATAGTTGGAAAAGCCCTCTAGAGTTCTGTTATTTCCCTATACTCCAGGGATTTTTTTTTTTCTTAGCTCAACTGATCTAATACTTTAAGGGTTATCATTGATGTTTTTATTAATGTCTAATAAATGAAAATACTATGACTTGATAATAGAAAACACTATTATAAATTATTTTAACAAGATAGGGTCCTAATGACATAAGTGATGTTTGACAGCTTGGCTGTCAAGTTACATGACCCAAGACAAGTTACTTTACTTCTCTGCACTTCAGTTTCCTCCTTAATGTGAGGTTTAATTGAAATAATAATATAAAGCCCTTGGCACAGTGCCCAGTACATGGTAAGTGCTGAATAAATGTTAGCTTCTATAATTGTTATTATTGTTGTTTTAAATATTAAATAGCAAAATCATACAGTCACTTAAAATTTCCTGGGAAAAGTAGTTCATATAATCCAAACTACAAAGATCTGTTTACATCAAAAAATCAATTTGTTAATTTGCAGTGAGAAAAATAACTACCAAACTAATTGCAATTCATATACCCAGCTCAGCATTCCGCACCCCCGCCCTCCCACAAAGAAGGAAGCCCACTTAGGAAACCAAATGAGAACAGGAATCCAGTGAGTATACTGAATTTGAGCCAGAAAGATGACTGCTTTCTCTCTGCCCTAATTCTCCTTCAACCTGAATCTTGCCCCTGTTTTTGCTACAGCTTAATATTCCTAAAACAATCATTTTATTCACTCTCCTGATCAAGCCTGCTGTCTACTGATTAAAGAATAAAGCATAAATTCCTTAGCTTGGCTTTTAAGATCCATATTAATTTGTTCCCAAAGCTCCCATTCAACTTTATTTCCTACTTCTGTCCAACATGATGTCTCTCAACTCCAATAAGGATAGGTTCTTCATTATTTTCTAAAATACGCCACGTTCATTTCTCATTTTGAGCCAAGGCACATTGGTAGGTTTTCCTCATAGAATTCTCTTCTCTTTCTTCTACTCAAATCCTTTGTATTATTCAAAGTCCACCTTAAGTCACATTTCCTTCATGAGTAATACACAAACCATTCCAGTCAATACAAAATCTCTAAATTCCTATAATTTGTATTGCTTTACTCTTTTTCACATATATGTAATACATATACTGCTTTGTATATTGGCTTAACTCCTCTAAATTGTATTTCCCTTATCAGATTCTAAACTTCTAGAAGATGAAGATTTTTTTTTTCTCAGAGAATAACACCATATCATATATATAGACACACACATATATGTAAATATATATTATACAATATTAAGCTCTCAATTAATACGATTCATTAATGAATGTCTTGGGGCAAGATAAACCTGCCCCTGCGAACCCAGAAAGATTACTTGGCTCCGGCATGCTCCCCTAGGGGCCCAGCCTCCAAGTTCCTCTCTGTGTTCTCTCCTCAGTTCTTATAATTACATCACGGTGCCTATCAGAAATTTCCTAATTGCTTCACAGTAAATGTCTAACAAAAAAAACCATTCTCTTTAAACATCTTTTTTGTTTCTGATTTCTTTCACTCTAGAAAATCTAAATATATAAACATGAAATAAGCACCCAGTAAGTTACTCTGTAGGAATCTATTCTAATTTCTTGAACATCCCTGGCCCATTAGGCAGTTAAAATGTAGATATACTCTGACAAAATATTATGTGCCAATTAACTGATAAAACTGCTGTTTTAAAAAAACACCAAAGATTAAAGTCATGATTCTGAAGTAACTCACTAAATAGCCATTGATTTTCTTTTAATTCTTAGTAATTACCTTAGATGCTTTGTGAATTTTGATAGAGTGAGAGAGCTGAGCAGTGGCCATTGTAGTAATGTATCAGAATTCTTTTAACAGGTCAAACCTATGGGGGTGAAAAAAAAATTAGAGGCTTTGCCTGACATAATCCTTTTTGTGAATTTTCCAAAGAAGAACTACATAATTAGCATTTGATTGTATTCTTTGGAAAATTAGTTTAATTAACATTTTTATCTCCACTACCCATTTTCTATGAATTTGGCATAAATTCTCTGGATTAGTTTTTTCAACCACCCAGTGAGAATTTAAGTTAATTTGCTTGTTCCCAAATACATCTGGAGGAGAAAAATAAATTGTAAATCACCTAAAAATTTAACAATGTATTTTATTCATCCTCGTTATTCCCTTACAGTGCAACTGTGCTCTGTATATAGCAGGGGCTCAAAAACATTTCTTTTTTTTTTTTTTAAAGATTTTATTTATTTATTTGAGACAGAGAGAATGAGAGACAGAGAGCATGAGAGGGAAGAGGGTCAGAGGGAGAAGCAGACTCCCTGCCGAGCAGGGAGCCCGATGCGGGACTCGATCCCGGGACTCCAGGATCATGACCTGAGCCGAAGGCAGTCGCTTAACCAACTGAGCCACCCAGGCGCCCTCAAAAACATTTCTTGAATTAACTTTACAGGTTATTGTTTTTTGGGTTTTTTTTTTTAAGATTTTATTTATTTATTTGACAGAGAGACACAGCGAGAGGGAACACAAGCAGAGGGAGTGGGAGAGGGAGAAGCAGGCTTCCCGCGGAGCAGGGAGCCCGATGTGGGGGCTCAATCCCAGAATCCTGGGATCATGACCTGAGCCGAAGGCAGACGCTTAACCACTGAGCCACCCAGGCACCCCAGGTTACTGGTTTTTAAAGGTAACTCAAAAGTTAAAATTTACACTTCACACCCATTAGGATGGCTATTCCCCAAAAATGGAAAATGATAATGTTGGTGAGGATATGGAGAAATTGGAACCCTTGTGCATTGCTGGTGGGAATCCTATAGCTGCTGTAAAAAATAGTATGGCAGTTCCTCAAAAAGTTAAACAGAATTACCATATTAATCAGCAATTCCACATCTAGGTATAGACCCAAAAGAAGTGAAAGCAGGGATTCAAACAGGTACTTGTACACCAATGTTCACAGCAGTATTATTTAAAATATCTAAAAGGTGGAAATAACCCAAATGTCCATCAACAGTTGAATGGGTTTTTTAAATGTGGTGTATACAATGATATATACAAGCCTTAAAAAGGAATGAGATTCTGATACATGCTACAACATGGATGAAACTTGAAAACATTATGCTAAGTGAAATAAGCCAGACACAAAAGGACAAATATTGCATGATTTCACTTATATGAGGTAGAGGTACCTAAAGTAGTCAACTTCATAGAAACAGAAAGAATAGAGGTTACAAAGAGCTGGAGGGTGGAAGGAATTGGGTGTTTAAAAAGCACAGAGTTTCTGTTCAGGATCACAAAATTTTTCTAGGAATGGATAATAGTAATGGTTGCACAACACCATGAATGCACTTAGTACCACTGAACTGTACACTTCAGAATGGGTGAGGTGGTGAATTTTATGCATATTTTAACACAGTAAAAATATTAATGTTAAAAATACATCTAGTTTTGGGGAACCTGGCTGGCTCAGTCGGTAGAGCATGTGACTCTTGATCTTGGGGTCATGGGTTCAAACCCCACGTTAGGGGTAGAGTTTACTAAAAAAACAAATAAATAAAACAGAGGGACTTAAAGTCATAAAAAAATACATCCAGTTTTCACTTCCATTGCTTCACTAGCATAAAACAATAGAAGCAAATTTCCCTTTTTCTTTTCAAAGACCTTAATTTAATTTATACTGGGGCTTCTTTTCAATGTTTTATGGAGTTCTGACCAAAGCATTTGTAAAATAACCCATCTAAAGTAATTCCATTCTGGATCACCCAGGATAGCATGTGATTTTTTTTGGTGTATAGATTAATGCAAGATTCTGGATGATTTTGCAAATAAAAGAAGGCAGAATTATTTGAGGACACTGCCACAAGATGGTGATAGAGATTATAAACAAGTACTATTTAATTTCTCTCAAATTACTTCTTCAGAGCAACACTAGGGGACACTCTTTTACAATATCTTATAGGACACTGAAAACCACCTAATAGTCCTTCAGTCCTTAAAGATTCCAAAGTATCTTTTGTTGACTTCAGAATATAACCTTCATTTCTGTGTATAACCTTCATTTCTGTGTATAACCTTCAAATCTGACTCAACACATCAATTGCCTCCCTTAAAACTTTAAGAAATAAAATGAGCAAAATAAGTAACTACAAGAGTTTAAGCTCTAGTTCCGGCCGATTAAACCATGTAAACAACCCCCTACTGGAGTAGTTATTAGCCTTAGAGATAATAAATAATAAAAAAGAAGAATTTTTAAATAGATTTCTACACTGATTTTTTTTTTTCTTAAGTAGGCTCCACGCCCACTGTGGAGCCCAATGCAGGGCTTGAACTCACAACCCTGAGATCAAGACCCTGAGATCAAGACCTGAGCTGAGATAAAAAGTCAGACCCTTAACCAACTAAGCCATTTAGGGACCCCACTACATTTTTTTTTTCCTCTATGGGGGTGCCTGGCTGGCTCAGTCAGTGGAGCACGCAGCTCTTGATCTTGGGACTGTGAGTTCAAGTCCCACACTGGGTATAGAGATTACTTAAATAAATAAACTTAAAAAAAATTTTCGGGCACCTGGGTGGCTCAGTTGGTTAAGCAACTGCCTTCAGCTTAGGTCATGATCCCAGAGCCTCGGGATCGAGTCCCGCATCGGGCTTCCTGCTCGGCAGGGACTCGGCTCCTCCCTCTGACCCTACCCCCTCTTGTGCTCTCTCTCTCACTCTCTCTCTCTCAAATAAATAAAAAAATAAAAATAAAAAATAAATAATTAAAAAAAAGAATCAGCAGAAGGTGATTAAAAAAAATTTTTTTTTCTATGATCATAAGACATTCTGATGGCATTTCTAGAGAATCAAGCCCTGCGGTGCCTGGGTGGCAAAGTCAGTTAAGCATCTGCCTTCTGCTCAGGTCATGATCCCAGGTCCTGGCATCGAGGCCCTCATTGGGCTCCCTGCTCCGCGGGAGGCCTGCTTCTCCTTCTCCCACTCCCCCTGCTTGTGTTCCCTCTCTCACTGTGTCTCTCTCTGTCAAATAATAAATAAAATCTTCAAAAATAAAAATAAAAATAAAAATCTTATGTTAGTATTTGAACTCCTAGTTTTCTTCCAGCCTTCCAGTTGTTCCTTCTCATTGTCTACTTCACACTTTTTTCCCTGCCTATTTCTTAGTGTTTGGTGTTCAGGGTTTTGTACTAGGAGCTCCTTTTTTTTTTTTTTTTTCTTACTTCTAAGCACACTCTCTGGATGAACAAATACATTTCCATTGTTTCAATTACTATATCTATTCTAATGATTCTTATATGTCAGAAGCCCAGGTCTCTCTGGGGAGTTAGAGATCTGTACCTCTATGAGACAGTTCCACTTTGATGTTCCTAACACATCTAAATGTCACTTCTTTTCCCCCAAAACCTATTTCTGTTCCTTAGTTTAAGCTAAGGAACAGAAAGACACATAAGCTTTTGTGTCTGGCTTATTTCACTTAGCATAAAGTTTTTTTTTTAAAGGTACAATTTAGGGGCACCTGGGTGGCTCAGTTGTTAAGCGTCTGCCTTCGGCTCAGGTCATGATCCCAGGGTCCTGGGATTGAACCCTGCATCGGGCTCCCTGCTCAGTGGGAAGCCTGCTTCTCCCTCTCCCACTCCCCCTGCTTGTGTTCCCTCTCTCGCTGCGTCTCTCTCTGTCAAATAAATAAATAAAAAATCTAAAAAAAAAAAAAAGGTACAATTTAGTGGGTTTTAGTATATTCAGTTTTGCAACCATCACTACTAATTCCAGAAGGTTTTTGTTACCCCAAAAAGAAACTCCATGGCCATTACCAATCACTTCCCAGTCTCCCCTCCCCCTGCTCCTTGCAACCACTAATCTACGTTTCATCTCTATGGATTTGCCTATTCTGGACATTTCATATAAATGGAATCATGTAATATCTGACCTTTAATGTCTCGTTCAGCTCATTCTTGAATCCTCAGCACCATTACATTATTGGAACAAAATAGATGCTCAATAAACATTTGCTGAATCAATAGAGAAGTGATACAAGAACAAGGAAGTATTAAGTGTCTAGAAAAGAATTACCGAATATTAGAGATAGAAGGAGCTTTAAATGTCATCTAGTCCAAACATCTAATTTTCTAGATGAGGAAATCAAGGTCCAGAGAAGTCAACTGACTTACTCAGGGTCAAACACTTAGTGGCAGAATTGATACTAAAACTCAAGAAATTTTGAGTCATGATTTAGGGGTTTTTCTATAATGACTCCCTAAAATGAAATTCCTTTTTGCTTACATTCCATTTAAAATGAGGCACTACCAGTGCCTTCCTAGTTGTGGAGCTTGCTTGCGTATTTCTAAACACAGTAGTGTCTTTTTCTGTTGTTCTAGAATGAGCTTGCTTTAGAAAAGCAAAACATATCTAAATATATATATTTTTTAAGTAGCCAGACTCTTTTCAACCTTTAATTATTCTGTTGCTACTGTTGTTTTCTCTTTGAGCAGGTGTTTTGTGGAAGTCTCCTATTCAAGTACAAACTCTGCTTAATTTTGAAAGCTCACAAGCTGACAGCCCCAGGAGGTATGACACTACAGATTATCAGAGAATAACTCTGATGTTTTTTTATCACTTTTTTCTAACTCGTTATCTAAAAGCCTAGGAGAGATTTCATAATTACGGATTTTAAGAACAGAACTCTAACTTTCAAATGTCTTTCACTTATATATATTATATATATATTTTTAAAGATTTTATTTATTTTTTAGAGAGCGAGAGAGAAACAGCATGAGAGGGGCAAGGGTCAGAGGGAGAAGCAGGCTCCCCGCTGAGCCGGGAGCCCGATGTGGGACTCGATCCCAGGACCC